AAAGATCAAATACATATTTCTTATTGTGTCACTTAATGGTTTTATATTATAAATCTACATCTATATTTATTTTATTGCTGGGAATGATTCTTTAATTTTGTAATGACAAAAGTGCATATCGAATGGTAGATTAAATAACTTCTACTTTTCTAAGAAAGTTGATGATAAACATTTACCTTGCAAAAACATGTTTGTTGACATATACTATGCATCAAGGGGACTGTAATAATATCACTGACTTCATGAAACCCCAAATCTAAAAACCTGCTAAAGAAAGATCAATACTTACTTCAGAAGATAGTAATTCATTTAAGAAGAATATGTCGATTTAGTACATGCAAATGCAGAAGTTCTGTTGACTTCTCATTCTGTGAACAGAACTTCTAATTAAGATAAAATGACCATAGAGAGAGGCATTATCTTTTCTAGTCACTAGAGATCATATGAGGTTCAATAATAACCTAATTTGTGAGGTGTCTGGTGGAAATGTGCATGGGAGCAGAGTGACACGGTCTCTCCTATCGAACACATCCTCGCGCTGCCTTGTGCTTGAAGCTGGGCACCACTGCTCATGTAGGGAGAGAGATGTTAGGAAAACAGAGGTGAGGAACAACAGATAGAGCCCACTCTGGACCTGGGCGATGCTACAGTGAGGGGTGAGGCTGCATTCTGAGCGGGTAATGATACGGGATCAGGCAGCTGGGAATGAACAGGATGAAGAGGGGAAGGAAGGGAAAGGGATGGAGACAAGGAATAGGAAATACAGAGAAATAAAGCATCGAGTGAGAGAAAAGAGTGGAAAAAGAAGAGGTCGAGGGAAAAGGAAAGGAGACAGAGTATAGTGGAGAACATGAGAAAAGGAGAGAATGTGGAGGAAACCAAAGTGAACTGGGCTGGAATTTGTGGGAGGCAGGAGTGTGTTGTTTACAGGGTGTGGCATCTGAAATGTAACTGCTGAGGTTTGAATCTGGCTCCACAACTTTCCAGAATAACAACTATGAGAATTTCCACAAATCTCGCAGCCTCAGTTTCTTCTTCTGTAAAATGGGGATAATAATTCTGCCTACCTCCTAGGGCGGCTGGGAGAGTTAAATGTGATCACACGTGTCAAGTGTTAGTACAGTGCTTGCACATAGTTAGCGGTATTGTTACTGAGGTTAAAAGGCAGAGGAACAGAGGGCAAAGGAAAAGAACAAAGTGGAGGAAGTAGGAAGGAAGGACAGCCATTCAGACAGTGGAAGGATGGAAAAGAAATTTCTGCTAATGATTTTAACCTTACTTTCCCCACATTAAAATCCAAGTTTCTATGGCTACCATATTATTTCTACCTGTTTCAATGACACTTAGGAAAAATAAATGTATTTAATATGAACACACTTTTAAATGTATTATTGTATTAAACTAACCTATAATAGCTTGCAAAAAAAGATAAAATAACATTTCTTCTAATTTAATTACACTAATTTCAAATTCCAAGTTTTTGTGTACATGTTTACAAATAGGAGTGACAGTTAATATGCTGGCTCCATTAGCAAAAGAACTTAGCAAACAATTATTGATGACAGCTTAAAATCAGTATTATCAAATGATTAAAACAGAAAATTGGTTCTTTTCAACAGTGATTTGATATTATTTTCATCAAATTCATGGAATAATAATAATTTTATCAAAGTTTGTACTTATGAAAGGGAAACACTCAGCCTTGAGAATTCAGTTAAAAATTCAACATTGAGGATAAAATTATTTATGGGGTGATAATGCCAATACATATTTTGGTGAAGCAGAATATTGTAGGAAGATTAATGTTTTACTGAATTAAGAAAGATATGTAGCAGAAATATATCAGAATTGGTTGTATTGCTCACATAATCCATACTTGTGCAATCAAGATATGGCATTTTGCAAATCAAAATAAAAATAGTATTTTCCCAAATTTATACACAAATACATTCATATACACACATATACACATACACATATATACAGCAACACATATATGTGTGTGTATAAATATATATGTGTGTGTATATATATGTATAATATATGAATGACACTACACTGTAGAAACTATAAAATTGGTGATATTTTAGTTTTTGTGTTGGGTGGTGGTTTCACAAACATGAAAGAAAAAGAAAGAAGGGAAGGGAAAGGAAAGGAAAAGATGGAAAGGAAAGGGAAGGAAGAGAGACAAGCTGGGCCAACGATAACGGTGTGTTATGAACCAACGTTTATGATACTTCTGTGCATCTGAGGTCCATATTAAAAATGTCTTAATGCTTTCTTTTCTAGCTGTCTGACATTCTCTATGGAAACAGGTCAACTGTTGGAGGGTAAGTTTCAAGTGTGGAGAGAGGTCAATGGAAATGGCGAGAAGGAAGTTAGTGAAATCAGTTTGGGGTACACGGACTCTGAGGTCCCTCGGGGACATTCCAGCAGTGATGTCCAATAGACAGTTGGGAAGGCTGATCTGAGATTCGGAGGAGGAAATATCCTGGAGATGTAGATTTGGGAGTCATTGATGTTTAGAGGGACGTGAACGAGATCGCCCAGGGAGAGTGAACATGGGGACTGAGGAGAGAGGAGGCCCAGGACAGAATCCCAGGAGCACCAGCACTCAAGGTGACAGCTCAACTCCCTGGCAGGCACCAGCACCTGGGCTGGAGTCAGGCAGAGCCAGCCTTGAAAGCGGGCTGTGGGGCTCAGGAGCTGAAAGCTGTCGGCAAAGTAGGATACCCTCTCTGATCAGCTGTCACACCTGGTGATAATGGGCATCTGAAAGGGATGCTCTGCAAGGATGCTGTGCGATGGGCTAGGTAAATCACCTGGGGTCAGAAAGCCTTCCCCTCCTCCTCTTATTCTCGGTGACGTCCCCCCTGCCCCGCTAACCCCCCCTCCCCCGTCCTCAGTTTCCTGGTCTCTCGGGGATGGGGAATGAAGTGGGTTGGGAAGTGGGGGCTGAGCTCGGGTGACGCGGCGCTCACGTGACCCACTAGGCACAGACGTGGGCACCAGCCCCCGCGCCCGCCCTGCGGTCTGGTCCCGGCGCCGGTGTGGAACCACCTCTCTGAGCTGTCTCAGCGGCGGGAGAGCATCAAGCGGGTTTCTGCAAGCCGGAGGAGGCGCAGGCCTGTCCCGGGTGCCCGCAGGTCAGTGTGAAGGCGGGCGCTGCCGGCGGCCCCGGGGCAGCGGGTGGAGTGGCTGGCAGTAGGATCCGGGAGCAGTGGGAGAGGGAGCGGGGGAAGGGATCTGGGGGATTGGTGAGGAGGGGGCCGCGGAGCGGGCGGGGGACGGGAGGACCCCGCAGGCCTAGCTAGGCTTCTTGTTCCCCCTCCTCTGAGCTCTCCATCCATGTTAGATCAGGAAAGGGGGGGGGCGCCCCTGCAGTGCGACAGCAAAACGCAGACATATTCTGGAAATAACCCCCTCCCACACTCTGCGCCTATGAAGGCATATTGACCTCCACGAAAAGCGGGTGAGATGGGGCAGGTTGCCTCCGGGGAAGGGGGATAGGGACCCAAACCGCAGTTTGGAAAGCATCCTGGTCTGGCGCCCAAGGCCTGGAAAGAAATGGCGGCTGGGGTGCGGGGGAGGTAGGGGAGGAAAACGTTGGGTGAAAAGGGCCTGGATTCAGGAAGGGACCCGAGTCCCTGTGAGCCCCCTGAGCGCGCAGTCCCTGCCCTGTCTCCTGTCTGTCTGCAGGTCTGCGTGTCTGTCGTTCCCAGCACTCTGCGAGGCCTGAGAAGGAGGAGCAACCTGTGCACAATCCCCACAGGTCCGTGAAGGGGTGGGCGGCAGGGACAGGGACCCAGAAGGGTTGAGAGTGTGGAGGGCACAGCTTGTGCAGAATTTGGGGCCCCACTGCCCATCCCATCACCACATGAACACATACCTTGCCAGGCTGAAGGTGTGTAGAAAAGGTGGCAGGGCCTGCCAAGGAATGGTTGGCTCACCTGTGTGAGAGGAGTGGTGGTGTAAGGGGTGGGCAGAAGGCACACTTGGAGGTCCCCCGGGCGTTGGGGTACCCTCATCAGGGGCGAGATGGAAGTACTATCCGGACCTGCCTTCCACCCCATGTCCTCAGTTTTATATGTCTCTTCTTTGTCTCTCCTCTTCCTTCCTCCACCCACAGGACAGGAAAAGCAAAGAAAATCTCAACGATGGAAAAACTCTACAGTGAAAATGAAGGAATGCCTTCAAACCAAGGAAAGATGGAAAATGAAGAACAGCCACAACATGAGGGAAAACCAGAAAGTCTGGAAAATAAGAATTTAGAAAATGAAGGAAAGATAGAAAACAAGGGAAAGACAGAAGATGAGGAACTAAAGAATAAAGAAAAGCCAGAAAATGAGGGAAAGACAGAAGAAGAAGGAAAGCCAGAGGGCAAGGCAAAGTCAGAGAGCGAGGGCAAGTCAGAGAGCGAGGGAAAGTCAGAGAGTGAAGGAAAGCCAGAAAGGGAGGGAAAGCTAGAGAAGGAGGAAAATCCAGAGAGCAAGGGACAGCTGGAGTGGGAGGGAGAGCCAGACAGTGACGGAGAGCCAGACAGTGAGGAAGAGCTAGAGAGTGGAACAAGGGCTGCAGGAAAGCGCCCAGCTGAGGATGATATACCCAGGAAAGCCAAAAGAAAAACCAACAAGGGGCTGGCTCAGTACCTCAAGCAATATAAAGAGGCCATCCATGATATGAATTTCAGCAATGAGGACATGATAAGAGAATTTGACAATATGGCTAGGGTGGAGGAGAAAAGGAGAAAAAGCAAACAGAAGTTAGGGGCGTTTTTATGGATGCAAAGAAATTTACAGGACCCCTTCTACCCAAGGGGCCCAAGGGAATTCAGGGGTGGCTGCAGGGCCCCACGAAGGGACACTGAAGACATTCCTTATGTGTAGTGTCCCTGGCAGGCATATACCAGGCCCTGTGCTTTAACCTTATGCTAATAGTTTGCTTTAGGTGTCCCTCATGTTACCCTTACCCACAGCCTTTTGATCCAACTGTAGTGTTTGCTCTAGGTTTCAGTAGCAGATTTTCACACATGTGCATCGCAAAGATGTTATGATTCTTGGAAAAATAAAGCAGCTTATACTATCATCTACAGAATCTGTCTGTTTTGTGGGGAAAAAACCTATAAATTTATATAGTACATCTACATAGAAAAATAAAAAGTTTTTGGTTTTTTTTTTTGAAACAGAGTCTCATTCTTTTGCCCGGGCTAGAG